ATGCTTTTATATCTCTGTGCTTTTTTATCTACTTCCTCTGCCTGCTATCTGCATGATGAACTGGTACCGGCTTGATAAAGTCCTGCTAGTCAATCAAGATCTAGCTTATTTGTCATCCCTTTTATAAAACATTATCAAGTCCTCAAGGCAAAGATAAGTCCTCCATTCTCTACCCTCATCAAACTGTTCCCACCTCTTTTCTTTTCTTTTTTTAATTTTTAATGTTTAAAAATTTTTTTTCTGGATTTGTCATAATTTTATTTTATTTTATTTTTTTTTACACATAGTTTATTGTCAAATTGGTTTCCATATAACACCCAGTGCTCATCCCCACAAGTGCCCTCTCTCCATGCCCATCTCCCCCTCCCCCCCACATCCATCAGTCCTCAGTTTGTTTCTCAGCATTCAAGAGTCTCTCATGGTTTGCCTCTCTCCCTTTCCCCCACCATTTCCCCCCTTCTTCTCCCCCATGGTCCTCTGTTAAGTTCTTCTTAACCCTCCTATAAGTGCAAACATATGATATTTGTCTTTCTCTGCCTGACTTATTTCGTTCAGCATCACACCCTCAAGGTCCATCCATGTTGCTACACATGGCCAGATTTCATTGTTTCTCATTGCCATGTAGTATTCCATGGTATAGATAAACCACATCTTCTTGATCCATTCATCCGTTGATGGACACTTAGGCTCTTTCCATGTTTTAGCTATTGTGGAGAGTGCTGCTATGAACTTAAAATTTATTTTTGAGAAAGAGATAGAGACAGCACGAGCAGGCGAGGGTCACAGAGAGAGAGGGAGACACGGAATCTGAAGACAGGCTCCAGGCTCTGAGCTAGCTGTCAGCACAGAGCCGGACACGGGGCTCGAACCCACGAACCGTGAGATCATGACCTGAGCCGAAGTTGGACACTTTACTGACTGAGCCACCCAGGCGCCCCCACACCTCTTTTCTAAGCATTATTGAGACCAGAATTTGCTAGGTACTGGGTTAAGTACAGATAAAAGCGAACATCTATACTGCATTATTATGCACCAGGTACTGTAACATCCATCACTTATTTAATCTTCACAACAGTTCTGTGAGCGCAGGCCTATTTGACCACCATTTCACAGATGAGAAGACTGAGGTACATTATGTAAATTTATAAATTGATTAAACGGCAGAGATTTAAAGCCAGACAAGGGATCTTGATTGACAGCCCCAACTGCCTCCACTCTGGAGAAACTACAGCAGCTACTCTTAATCTATAGGCCTGGCAGGGGTTGGGACGAGGGCCAACTCATTTCCGCCCAACCAAAGATTCTTTTAATGGGTGATGCTTGTTTGGAAAAATCCCTACTGCGAATAGGAATCCTACTAAAATTGTTGTATTCAATTGCTCACGGAATAAGGCACCCATCTGCCTACCAATCTGAAACTGCTTGGTAGGTGAACAAAGCATGAGAAAGTAAAACATAAAGGAAAGGTTTAGATACAGGGAAATGACATATGTAGTAACATTTAACATATTTTAAATAAGTCAACAGTAAACCACAATACACACACATGCGCGCGCGTGCGTGCACGCACACACACACACCTCACATGGGCATCTTTTGTATTAAGAAATGAAGTATTGTAAAATAATTTTGAATCTGTGTTAGCTATAGATTGATTGTACTGTTGAAAACTGTTTTTGTTTGTGGGCACAGGAGTGCATGTGCCTTTGTGTGTATGTGTATGTGTGCATGTGTATTTCCTTCCCCTAACTGACCAGCTATGTTAGGGGTCATGAGTCACTATATGGTGATGCTATGTGTGTATATTTTTCATGTATTTGTGAATTTTATTAATTCTAGTTTTTATTAATGACATTTGACTTTTCTTTCTGTAAAAAAAAAAAAGGTTGAGCAATTTTTAGAACTGGGCTGTAGCCTGTGGGTCTTCCCTCCTCTTCCTTCCTCCCCTTTCTCTTCACCCTGTCTGACTATCCCTCCCTGCCTGCTTTGAACTTCAACCTCTTTATCCTTTACAGGCATTTTTGCCAACAAGTGTTTTCACATCTAATCCTGTCTTGGTGTCTGCTTCTCAGAGAATGAAAACTGAGAAAATGTATATGAGACACTATTGCTGCCTCAAAGAACTCCCAGTCTTCCTGGAGGAATGGACATATATATTTTAAAAAATACAAATAATTCAGTGTGATGATTCCTAATTTGCAGTGATATAAAGCATCTTGAGAATGCAGGGAAGGAAGAAATTGTTCTGTCTGGAGCAAGTGAATGGACATTAAGAAAAAAATGCAAGGGAGCCATGACTTTCTAGGTTGGATCCCAAAGGAATTGTTAGAGTGGCTGAGATAAGGGCACTCCAGAAAGAGAGAATAACAATAGCATAGACATGGAGGTATGAAAGTGTTTGACGTACTTAACAAATAATGTACTTGTCCATTCCTGAGAAATTGCTTCACTGTTACCATACTTAACAACAACAACAACAACAGAGATCAGCAAAGCATACTTTGTGCAGAGCTCTTAATTTCAAGAGACCTTCCAGGCTCAATCTTCCCAAGGGCAAAGGAAGCCTGAACCACAGCCAGGGATCCATGCTTCCGGTTCCATCTGTATTTACTATGCTATCATGTGCCAGGCACCCGACAGATTATCCTCAGGGGAAGAACCACAGACTTAAATATGTATGACATACAAAGTTCTGTAAAACTGAGAAGAAATTCATAAGTTTTCCTTCTGTCACAGCTCCTTTCTAAGAGAAAAAAAAAAACTTGAGAAAAACAAGGTCAAATTAGTGCTGATGCCCCTCTGAAGTAAGGTACGTTTCTGCAGATCCAATTGTGTTGAAAAACATAAAGGATGGTGCACTCTTGGGAGATACATCCTTGCATTTTCAGGGAAAAATTTGTAGACTGCCTATTATGTGATGTGTGCTATGGGTAAAAATTTTGGAACTGCAGAAACACAAATGAGAAAATAAGTTACCCATAATTTTATAGCACATACATATGTGTATGTGTCTATGTATGCATGAGTGTGTGTGTGGAGAATGTGTTTTTAAATGTATGGGTAACACTGTGTAGGACATTTTATAAACAGCTTTGATCATGTAATTCTGTACTATGAGCTGTTACCATCTACTATCATGAAAATTCCTCAGGCCTTTATTTCTGAGATATTTTTTCCTGTTCTAACTCTTGCTCCTTTCTTTTACTGACTTTTCCTCTAATCTCTTAAATCTTGAAGTTTTCTTGGGTCAACACTTTTCTCTGCTCATTCAAGCCGGTCTTCCAGGATGGCAGGTTTGTCATTCCTTGACATCTCCTGCTGCCCCTGCACTGACAGTTCCCTTCTAAACCCCAGACTCTGTTTTCTAAGTACCCATGAAACATCTCTATTTGAATAGCTCACATGTAACTCAGACTCACTCTATCAAAAACTGAACTCAATTCATGACGTGATCCTCAAGCCAACTTCTGATAAAGCCTTTCCTTAGATTTTAGAAAGTATTGATTAAATAATGAAGCTAGGAGGCTATCATTCTTGCCTTCAGCCTCTTTTTCCTTCCCAATGACCGTGGGTCACTAAGATGATCTTTTCTATATGCAACCACATTTCTCATTGTTCCGTCATCTTCTCCAGTACTTTCGGCATGGCCATCCTAAGGGGCCCTTATCATCTTTCACCTGTACTGTGGTGAGGCATCCTTAACTTGTCTCCCTCCACCACACCCACTCACGTCTGTATCAAGTGTATCAAAGAGTGAATGCAAGATGAGGAATGAATGTACGAATGGACTTTTTTTTTTTTACAGGAAATTTTGCAGAGAAGTGTAAAAAAGACTGAAATATTTAAAAACACCAAGAGGAGATCAGGTTAAGGCAAAGCTTATTTGCTTATTAATGTGAGAAAATTTAAGGAATATTTGTAGACAGCAAGGGAAGGAGCTAGTAAACCTGGAGTATAAGTAAGGAGTAACAGGTCAATGAGGTCCCAGAATAACCCTCAGCACTGAAAGGAAAAGAAGTAATAATAGATCAAAATTTATATTTGAGGGGTACTGAAGGAATTTAGATCTCATCGAATTCTCAGGTCATCTGCTAAAGGTGAAAGAAAGAAGGAAAAGTGAGACCTTTGAAAAGATTGGTAAAAGCTTGTGACAACCTGATCTTGAATACTGGTGAATGGGATTGAGTAGGGATCAGCAACTATCTGTTTACATGTTCACCATTGTACCCCACACCTACTACTGTACCTGGAACACATTAGGCCCTCAGTAAATGTCCTATAGACTAAGCTCCACAGTGGCAGAAACCAGGTCTTATTCATACAACAAACACTGTGCTTAATCATTGTAGAAACTCAAGGGTCAAAATAATGAATTGGTTTATAGAAAATTCTATAAAAATATCTCTGAAACCAGAAGTTTCTTGTAGTACCCACTTAAAGTTGAACTTTATCAGGAAGAAACAAAGAAAAGTCACACTCATCTCAGAGAGTGATTTAATTATTAATTAAAGTAATTCTTAGAATATATTTGTATCATTAAAAATGAGGAAATTTCCTTATTCTTACTGACAGTCTTGTACAATGTTAAGCATGATACTAAAATAGTCATTATATTTTAATCACCCAAGACAGGAAATAGAATTAGATTTTTTTAGAAATATCTTCTGAGGGACACCTGGATGGTCAGTTGGTTAAGCCTCTGACTTTGGCCTAGGTCATGATCTCCCTGTTCCTGAGTTCAAGCATTACATCGCGGGCTCTATGGTGGCAACTCAAAGCCTGGAGCCTGTTTCAAATTCTGTGTCTCCCCTTCTTTCTGCCCTTCCCCTGCTCATGCTCTGTCTCTCTCTCAAAAATAATTAAATATTAAAAATTTTTTAAAGAAATATCGTCTGAAATAGTTCCGATAGGTGTCAAAACAAATGGGAGGCTTCTAATAAACTCTCAAAAAATATATCCTATGTCATTTTGAAATGCCCTATGTAAACAATCAGTTCTACCTTGACTCTGTCTGTGCGGCTGTTGAAAAGTCCGATCCGTCTAATGGTGCTGAGGATGGGATCAGTGGAGTCATCAATCATGTTGTGAGTGGTCACTGGAGGCAAAGACTGTCGCTGAAGTCACAGAGGAAAGAAAATGTCAATTGTGGAAAGAATTAATGTGTGACTAATTTCAACAATAGGTCATTGGCAACATATCATTCAGCCTTCAGTCCTCTGAAATGACAGTAATGATGATGACTAAGTTTTGTGTGTGTTTCAGAGGAGGATAATGGGTTGAAGAACTTTCTTTGGATGTTATGATACTGTTCTTTTTCGCCTGCAGCCACTATGTGAAAGGCCTAGACTTCTTGACTATTTTTAGGATCTATTTAGAATGAAGGTGTCCTGAAATCTTGACTCAACATGAATGCCTTTCCTGGATTCTTCTAGCAGGGCTGTCTTCTGATGGTTCCTGATGCCTTACTACTGTGACAAGATGTCACACCTATCTTCCGTTTTTTGCAATAAGTTCACTCAACTGAGAAACATTAGCCTTTTCTCTATCATGACTCAAAATGCTCTGCTTTTTGAAAATTTTAGGGACTATTTTATTGTCATAACAATATAAACAGTTTTTCAAATGGATATATTGGTTCCAAATGAGTTTTTTAAGTGGATACAAGATACATTTCATGAACATTTTCAAAGGAGCCCTGAAAAGTACCCATAAAACAAGCAAAGTTGTCATTTAGGTGAATGCATGAGAATGACTTTTCTAGCTCTCAGGTTTAAACATTTCCCAAACTAGTCCATTCCAATAAATTAAAATATTGGTATAAATTAACTTTAACAATCTCGGGAAGTGATGGGCACTCTTTTCTTTTTACCTGAGTTGAAAAGATGGCTCTTTTCATAATTGTTACATCATCTCGATCCAAAATGTTGTTCATGTCAGGTATTTCTCCTCTGTGGGGAAAACAATGTTAATAACAAAAATAAAAATAAATGGCATTAATCCAGTGTTTCCCATGCATCAGACTCTGTTCTAAGCACTTCAATAATTAATATAAAACATGATTTTATATAAATATAAAAATAAAAACATGGTTTCCTGATGAAGTTTCTAGACAAATTCCTAAGGCATAAAGAAGTTTGATAAAAGAACAATTTTGATAGCATAAAAGAAAATTAAAAATTCTTAACCATTAATGTTGATCATTAGAAGGACAGTTTCATTATATTTTCCCTACTCTTGTGTACCATGTTCCAAAGTGGCCATAAGTGTCCATCTATGAGTTGACATTTTTACTGGAAAAAGGAAATGATGCATGCTTGCCACTATCAATCAGAAGACAACACAGCTTTCTCTTCATATAACAAAATCCATATATTTTATATATATTATTTTATAATACATTTTAATTTGATTTGGTTACTTAGATTTTATTTTATAAATTTATATATTTTATTTACCTTATATATTTAATGTTTATTATTCATAAATTAAATATAGATTAATTAACATTAATTAATTTGATAAATATTTTAATATGTAAGTAAATATATGTATTTAATATATAAAGTCAATGTATTTTTTGACTCAAACATCTTGTGAAATCTCCCTCAGTTTCACACTGACATATTAACCCTTAATGAGAGTCGCACTGAATTAGAATCTATTTGCATATGTAAATATGTTCTCATTTGTACAACTTGTTTATAACTATATGTCAGGTGAAAGGTAAAACAAAACCTATTCACATGACATAATACATATTTAAAGTCTACCAATTCTTTTATGTTTGGAACAAAAGAAACACATTATAGTGTAAATTGTTAAATTTGAATAGTGAAGCCCTAAAACGTTTGAAGTGTTCAGTATTCCCAGCACCTACCTTAGTAATGCGTCATAGAGTTTCTTTCCAAATTTTTCCTTCACAGAATGTGCAATGTCCCTGTACAAATTGGAAGATTTATAATTTAAAGTGTCACAAGTTATAATCTTTGTCTGTCATGGCCATGCTGATGTTTTGTCAGTGCATTCTTTGAAATTACAGGTCCTTTGGTACAAGCTCTTCTACTGCTTTTCCTAGTTGCCAATCTAGCTCGAGTTAAAACCTCCAGAGCTGAGGCAGCAGAACACACTGAGCATTCCACAGAGCTCCACATTGTTTTGCTTGATGACATTCAGGTGAGGATGGCAGGGAGTGGGAGTGGCTGGAAGTACAGATGTAATAAGATGGGGAAATTCTGTGATGATTGTTGAATATGGGCTATGGGCATGTAGGGGGTCATTATACTAATCTCTTTACTTTGGCATTAGTTTTAAAATGTTCACAATAATTTTTTCTGTAAGTTCAACCCGTCTTTAAAGATTTCTAGGGCCACCGTGGTGGCTCAGTTGGTTGAGTGTCCGACCCCAGCTCAGGTCATGATCTCACAGTTCATGGGTTCAAGCCCTGCTTTGGGCTCTGTGCTGACAGCTCAGAGCCTGGAGCCTGCTTCAGATTCTGTGTCTTCTTCTCTGTTTGCCCATTTCCTGCTCATGCCCTGTCTCTCTCTGTCTCTCAAAAATAAATAAATATTAAAAATTTCAAAAAAATAAAAATAATAAAGATTTATACAGAGGTTTTATCATTCCACAGTGGTTCATTCCAAAGCTTTTACAGTAACATAGTCCTATAGGCATTCCATAATCTGACATAGTACCCCAATGAGAAGAGAAGCAAGTAGCATTTGTGCCATAATAATCTTAAGGGAAAAAAATACAATCCAAAAAGATATATCAGAAATTATGCATGTTAAAAAAATCTCTACATTATTGCTTGAGAACATTTGTAAGACATGAGATTACCATAGCTGTTTCCGCACTGCCTGGCCTTTCAGGGTTTCCACGTTGAAATTGTTTGTCTTGGCAGGCATAATGAAAAACACCACCACCGTGACGTCACTTTTATGCATCTAATGAGGGATTAGGAAACACAACCAGTCAACTACCAAAGATAAAAGAAAACATCGATAGATGGACCTTAAACTTAAAAAAAAATAGTGTTTTATATTATCTTTAGATAAAAAGAATACTTATTTATGATTGACAGAGAAATTACACCCACTTTCCTGAAACGGACTCAGCAATATTATTTTAATTTGGCTTTCAGTTGAGATTTATTGATTAACAATTTGAAAATTCAGACATAAAATATTTTCATTAACCAGCTAAATAAAATATACAGCAATTGTTATTGATAGTCACAGTGCTTTTCTATGGTTAAAAAAATTCATATGAATGAGCTAATGGTAGAAGGCCAAAATGAGTTCTTTAAAATTTCAGATTGGAGGTGCTACCGGGTGGCTCAATCAGGTAAGCCTCCAACTTTGATCAGGTCATGACATCACAGCTCATGAGTTCAAGCCCCACGTTGGGCTCTGTGCTGACAGCTCAGAGTCTGGAGTCTGCTACAAATTCTGTGTCTCCATCTCTCTCTGCCTCTCTCCAGTTTCTGCTCTCTCAAAAATAAATTAACATTAGAAAAATCTACAGAAGTCATAGAAAAGGCTCACTCCAGGAATAGCCACTGTGTTATAAAAGAATAAATGTACTATCTGAAAGAATGCTTTCTTTTAATTTCTCCAAGTATTGTAATTATCTTTGATATCTAAATAGCAATTGGCTTTTTCCTCACACTTAAAAATAAAGTGACTGTTAGGGGGACCTGGAGGGCTCAGTTGATGAAGCGTCCGACTCTTGATTTTACTTCAGGTCATGATCTTGCAGTCCATGAGTTTGAGCCTCTCAGTGCAGAGCCTGCTTGGGATTCTCTCTCTCTCTGCCCCTCCCCTGCTTGCACTCTCTCTCTCTCTCAAAATAAATAAATAAACATTATATATATATATATATATATATATATCCAGCCACTCTGGAAAACAGTGTGGAGGTTCCTCAAAAAATTAAAAATAAAATTACCCTATAACCCAACAATAGCACTTCTAGGGATTTGTCCAAAAGATATAGGAGTGCTGATTCATAGCGGCGTATGTACCCCAATGTTTATAGCAGTGTTGTCAACAATAGCCAAATAATGGAAAAAGCCCAAATTCATCAACTATTGAATGGGTAAGGAAGATGTGGTATATACATACAATGGAATACTACTCATGTTGCCATTTGCAACAATGTAATTGGAACTGGAAAGTATTATGCTAAATGAAATAAGTCAGTCAGAAAAATATGGATATATGTTTTCAGTCATATGTGGAATTTGAGAAACTTAACAGAAGACCATAGGGGAAGGAAAGGAAAAATAAGTTACAAACAGAGAGGGACACAGACCATAAGAGACTCTTAAATACAGAGAACAAACTGAGGGTTGATGGGGGTGAGGGATTGGGGGGGGTGTCAGGAAAAATGCGTGATGGGCATTGAGAAGGGCACTTGTTGGGATAAGCGCTGGGTGTTATATGTAAATGATGAATCACAGGACTCTACTCCTGAAGCCAAGGCTACAGTGTATACACTGTATGTTAGCTAACCTGACAATAAATTATTTAAATATGTATATATATATTTATTTAAAGTGACTGTTAAACAAATGTATAGATAAATTGATTAATAATGTCCCTAAACATGATATATGTTTGATATAGCTTTGAGTCCATCTGTAAAACTTGTTAAATAAATACATACTAGGAATAGTAAAGAATAAGATTATTCCAGCCTATTCTAGAAAAATATATCTGGTCTTCAGTCCTATTTTACAGAGTTGAGTTTTTATTAATGTATTATTTTCTTATTAATGTGGTATCAGGAAATCTTTTAGGATACTTAGTACAATATCTGCTCTAAGGCAAAAACAAATCTATGAGCAAGGAAAAAAAATAACTGGATAGTAGTACGGAGCTCAGTTAAGTTTAGATTGTCTTGGTATCTCAATAAGATTGAAATTCCACACATGTCTCTGTAGCTTACTCTTATTTATTCTATATTTCTACATGATAGAATTAGAATATAAGCCAATAACTTTAATCCGTAGCTATTATATGGTACCATTTTGTATAGCTGTTTCTATTGGCACAAGTTTTATTGCTGGATTAATTGGGAACTTATATTAAGTCCCACCTTCCTGAGCAAAAAAAAAAAAAAAAAAAGATTCCACATTGAAGTGGGAGCCTCCTTTCCCCTCCTTTTTGTTTCTATGTAGACATCTCCTCGTTTCACAATTCAAGACTCTTAATCTCAGGAAGGAGGCATGGCTAATGAGTAGGGAGAGGAAAAGCATTTGTTTGTGTCTACCTAGTTGTACAGAAAGCAAAGGCTTGGTTGCCAGCTGTGCGTGGTACATGTTCCTCTGAAGGACTTCTTTGGTTGGGGGAAGATGGCAATGTGATGAGATAGCTGTGTCCAATAGCAAGTTCAATATCAGGAAGCCTATTGGTGCTATATACCAAGCCTCATCTTCCATTACAGTCTTCTTTGGTGTTAAAAATGGCAAGTTTTGTTCTGTATTTGCTTGATTTCCTCATATTTATCTTTCAACTGGTTAACTCTTGGGACAGAAGAAGAAATGTTACAATGTCATCTTAAAACATAACACCATAAGCTTGTGGCTCTCTTTAAAAATTATCTGATCATGGGGGCGCCTGGGTGGCTTAGTCAGTTAAGCCTCCGACTTTCGCTTAGGTCATGATCTCGTGGTTTGTGGGTTCGGGCCCCGCATCAGGCTCTGTGCTGACTGCCAGTTCAGAGCCTGGAGCCTGTTTCAGTCTGTGACTCCCTCTCTCTCTGACCCTCCCCTGCTCACGCTGTCTCTCTCTCTCCTAGAAATAAATAAAAAACATAAAAAAAAATTATCTGATCATGTAAATACACAAGTGAACAATGTAGCAATCCCAATAAGTAAAGTGAAAGACCAGAGCCCTTTTTAGAATAAGGTTGTCATTTGAAGTATTCAAAATCACGTATTCTCTTGAAAACATCCTAACAAACCAGAATGTTCTTTACTTCTCACAGAAGGAAGTCCTCTTATAAAAGTAGTACATGGTATCCTAGGGTGTTCTTACCCTCAGCAGGAAATTTAACCTGGATAAGGCTTCTAGGAAGATGTCAGCTCCTTTGTTTGAAAACTCATATCTCCCAGCAATGAAAAGGAACAAAGTCTTTTCAAGATCAAAGTCCAGATGACTAAAACAAAACAGAACAGTTTCAAATGAAATAAGGCAACAGCAACAAAATGTACAAATGAATTCTGTTAAAGTTCAATGGAGCTGAGAAAGATAAACATTTACTATAACAATCTTGTTTTCTCTATGGCATAGGTCCCTAAAACATGTACTATTTTTTTTTTAAATAAAGAAAAGCATACCCATAGAAATGACCACGAACAAAATCTTGGATCCTGGCCTTGTACATGGCATGTAGATTTTGAAACTCATGTACTGCTGAAAATTTCTTAACACTCAAGCCATTTGGAGTAACTACATCTGGAAAAGCAAAAATAAAATCATCATAAATATCTTCTTTTGGGAGAGGGTACCATTGTAGAAAAACAGTGTGTTTACATATATAAAATTATATGTCTATTAACATTTCTATTTCCAATCACAGAACTAAACATTCATAACACTTCACAATAAATTTTTGCAATAGGATATCAGGAGTGTGTGACCAAACTAATACTAACTAGTATAATGAAACATCAAATTAAAAGCACTAACAATGATTAGTATGATTTTCCTTTATTGATTGCTTACTATGCAGAAGGCACTGTTCTAAATGCTTTAAAATGTAACTCATTTAATCCTTACAAAAGCCAATGGAGTAGGTGTTCTTATCTGCATTGTCAGAGGTAGAAACGGAGGCACGGAGGTGTTAAGGAATCTGTCCTAGAACACAAGTGTCAGTAAGAGTAGAATCCATGTGGTATGCCTCCATATGCTGTGTCTTGAACGATTTTGTACACTGAACTACCTCTTAGAATCTTATTTTGACCAAACATGTGGGAAATGTTCTGTCCACTCAGAAAACTGGAAAGGTAGGCCTTTAGTTCTAATTCCCAGAAGATTTTACTCAAGACATTTTTGGTTTTCCAGAATATAAGTCTGTGACAAGAAAGATAGGGACTACTCAGAGTACAGGATGAGAACTACCTACTGACTTGAATACATGGGTTGTTGCATTTAGCAGTTTACTAGCAGTAAAAACAAATGAGATTAAAAGGAAAAGGCTATGTCAAAAAATTTTAACATATGGCAGTGGGGATTTTTGCTACATATGAGATTTGATTCAGAATTATAAATATGCCACCATTTAGCAGGGTATTTTATAGTTAACAACTACCTTTAAATTTTTAAAAAATATTTATTTATTTTTGTGAGAAAGAGGGAGGAGAGGAGCAGAGAGAGCGAGAGACACAGAATCTGAAGCAGACTCCAGGCTCTGAGCTCTGTCAGCACAGAGCCTGATGTGGTGTTCAAATCGTCAAACCACGAGATCATGACCTGAGCCGAAGTCAGATGCGTAACCAACTGAGCCACACAGGTGCCCCAACAAACTCCCTTTTGAAACAGTTTCACAAAATCAACTCAGGCTTCTTAGTCATTTCTGATATAAACAACAACAACAAACCACTGATTCTTATGAGTTTTTGCTAAGTAATTGGGCAATGCTATACTCCTTTGCATACCTGACCAAAGCAGAGTCGATTTTAGGTTGCCAAGGTTTCTAGTAAAAGCCCTCATGAATAATTCCTAGATGAACTGTATAGTGTGATCAGGATAGTAGACAATCCTCTCTTACAATGTATTTATCGTTCCATAACATTATATAGTGTTTACCCTGTGCTAGACTCTAGTATATTTGATAAATATTAATTTAATTTTATAAAACCACAGAAGTAAGTTATTTTGGTATCTCCATTTTACAGGTGAAGAAACTGGCCTGTGGAGAGGTTAAGTTATTTGACCAAGATCAAAGTAACTATAAAGTAACAGAGGTAAGATTTAAAAACAAGGCAGCTTGGCTCTGAGGTTTATGCCTTTATCCACTGTGGTGGTCAGCTGTATTGTCCAAAAAGATATAGAAGCCCAGAATGTACATGAATACCTTTTTATTCCCTTTATACCCTTTTACTTCCTCTGGAATTTTTTTCATTGTTTCACAAACAAAGCTATATTTGGCAGCAGGAGGAAGGATGAGACTGTATGGACATTAGATAGGATAGTAGCTTCAAGATAATAAAAGTTTTATTTTAAAATAGAAAAAAAAAACAAGCATTTTTGTAAGCTCAGAAAAGGATACTGTACACAGAAACAAGAAAGATACAAGAAAGAAATAATGTTGATGGAGTCAATTTCTGTAAGGGACATGACAGTGAGAATCCAACCAAAGGCTAGAGAATACTTGGAAACACAAAAGGAGAGCATAGGCTCTTTATTATTAATAAAGGCTCTGTCATTATTCAAATTCCTTGGATTCTTTTTTTGATTATATAGCACCTTGAAATACCTCCTGTAGACATTCAACAACTAGTGTTTAGAAAAAAGACATCCAGAGATAAGATCACAAAGATTAAAGAAAGAGGATATATTAATTAGGACTGTTTGGTAGCAAATAACAGACTCAGTGGTAACACTGTATGAATAGGTCCTAAGATTCCAGTGTCTCATGGTAAGGGTTTAGCTGGGCTTCAGGAATTGGTTTAAACCATTTTAAATCACTGTGGGGAATCCATAGAGTCCATTTCTTGCTTTCAAGGTCTTGGGAGAAGTAAAACAGTAGGGGCAATGTCATAAGATGTAGGACTGGCATAGTCTCACACAAATTTCTGATATATTCTGAACTTTTATCTCCTTAAAATAGAAAAATTAACTGGCTTACATCCACCAAGTCACTGTGACAATCCTAGGGCGTAGGCCCATTTCAAGCATAGACTGAACACTACTGTCTTGTAGATATAGCTTAATGTTCACTTTATTGCAAAGCTACTGAAGTTGAGAATTAAACTATGTATAAAGATCTGGGTGATAATAGAGAATGCAATTTTTCCTCCATTATTTTATTTTATTTTTGTTTTAAACAAAATTTTTAGACTATAATGTTTCAGGACTAAAAGATTGCTGACAAGCTCAGAGATAATAATTACCAGGCTTTCTCTTCAGCATATGTTCTGCCTCTATTGCTGTTATTTCAGATACTGTGGTGAACACATGAGCACAATGGACAGAGGCTCGCTCCATGCAATACCGGTGGTAAATCTGCCTTTCCCCAGCCTCTTTGTCTATGTTAAACTGTTTAAAAGAAAAAATAAAGAAAAAGCAAAAACACATACACATTTGCTCATAGGATTGACCCTTGAAAAGCATGGAGGTTTGTGGCATTGACCCCCTGTATAGTCAGAAATCTGCATTTAACTTTTGACTGCCCCATATTTAACTGCTAGTAGACTATTGTTGACCGGAAGCCTTACCAATGATGAAAGCAGTTGATTAACACATATTTTGTGTATGTTCAATATTCAGTATTTTTACAGTAAAATAAGCTAGAAAAAAGAAACTGTTATTAAGAATATCATAAGGAAGAGAAAATACATTTATAATACTGTATTTATTGGAAAAATCTGTGCATAAGTGAATCCGTGCAGTTCAGAACTCTACTGTTTAAGGATCAGCTGTACTGATCCATTTACACAAGGAAAACAAAATTACATATATTCATACTGTTTTTTCCTCAAGGCTATGTAAAGTTTTATGACCACAAAAAAGTAATAGTAACTTTTTATTAAACCTATTACTAAAATGTAAAGCCACTTCTGTTTTATTTATTTACATTTAAAAAATTTTTTATGTTTATTTTTGAGATAGAGACAGGGGATGAGTGGAGGAGGGGCAGAGAGAGAGGGAGACACAGAATCCGAAGCAGGATCCAGGCTCTGAGCTGTCAGCACAGAGCCCGACGCGGGGCTGGAACTCAGGGACCATGAGACCATGACCCGAGCCAAATTTGGACGCTTAACCAACTGAGCCACCCAGGTGCCCCCAGCCACTCATTCTTTAAAAAGTATTGTTCAGAGGCACCTGGGTGGCTCAGTCGGTTAAGCACCTGAGTCTTGATTTCAGCTCAGGTCTTGATTTCACGGTTCATGAGATGGAGCCCTGCATCAGGCTAAGAGCACAGAGCCTGCTTGGGATTCTTTCTCTCCCTCTCTCTCTGCCTCTACCCCTTCTCTTTCCAAATGTAAATAAATAAACATTTGAGGAAAAAAAAGTATTCACTTTCTTTCTGCTTCTACACTGCTACTTAATCCTTACATGAATATTTATACTTTGCTATAATTACTTAGAATTCTTAATTTTTGATATCTTAATTTTATTAACTTACCTTACATTTTATAAATATTGAGTTAATTACTTTCCCCAAGGTCCTTATCATATTTTACCCATAAGCAAAGAAACAAAGCTGACACTAAACTTGATACTGAAAATAAGGGTAATTAGTGCCACTCTTAATTCACTGAAAAGATTTCTGGCAAAGAGGAAAGACCAATGGTTTTCTGGGGTTATGTAACTCCTATCACTGTATAATTTCAAAGGGTGTACGGTTACTTTAATGGGATGGTGTGTTAAATTGTGCAATCATCTATTATTCTGGGTATCTTAACTTAAAAAAAAAACTTTAAAACCAACAAGCCAAGCACCAAACAATTGATTAAATAGTTGGCAACAGTTGTGGGCTTTTGCCATTTTGTTTAGTTTCTGAATGTTATGTCTCACATAACTGTGGATGAAACTAGCTGTGTTTAAGAGAGAAAAGTATATAAAGTTTCTGGTATTATATTAGCAGGGTGCTTTCCACAATAAAGATTATTAGAAGCTCAACAGTATGCACTGGGCTGTCTTCTAAGCAGGATATCATATTTAATCCTCTTAAGCCACTAAGCCTTGTATTGCGTCTTCATTTTGTGGAGAGGAAAATTGATGCTTGTAGAGATTAGGGAAACTGCCCAAGATCACATTCCTATTAAGTGTCTTAGCAGAGCCCTAAACTGATCCCTAATCAGTCTGACTTCAAAATTGTGCCCTTTCCTGCTTTTAGAACATTTAGACTCCAGCTCAACCAAGTCAGTCCCAGTAACTACTGTGCCATATAGAAGAAAACACTGAAAAACACTAAGTAGACGATTCTAAAGACAACAACAAGGAAAGTCCTAAAGCATTCTTTCTTGTCTGTAATATCTGCAACTATTTCTCTGAAAATGTTTGAAGCAGGGCTCTATAGGGCATCCTTGGATCAGCTGAAGTTTTCCCAAAGGCGTATATCGTTGGTCTTTTTTACTCAGTCAAATCTCTCATTCAACCAACACTTGTTGATTAACTTATTATTTCTGTGGCCCTCAAAGGGCTTATAAATTAGTGAGAAAACAGGTTAAAATTAGACAGATATAGGTAAGTGCCTGAGGAAGACATAGGATCACAGTGGGACTGAGAATAGGGAAACATATTTCATACTATGCAAGTGTTTACATTCTCAGTATCACCTCCAGAATGTAAGATTTTCAAAGCAAGGACCATGATTTATTAATCTTTGTATCTCCAACTTGATTGTATGAATAAAAGGGGATTTGAACTGGGACATGAAATTTTAATTTGGGGAGAGGTTATTTTGGATTGAAAAATTAACTAAACAAGTACATAAAGTCAAATAGCAGGACGCCTGGATGGCTCACTCGGGTGAGCATCTGACTCTTTGATTTCAGCTCAGGTCCTGATCTCATGGTTCATGGGATCGAGCCCCATGTTAGGCTCTGTATTGACAGCACAGAGCCTGCTTGGGATTCTCTCTCTCTCTGCCCCTCCCTTTCTCACCCTCTCTCTCTTTCTCTCAAAACAAATAAATATTGTTTAAGTAAAAAAAATATAAAGTCAAATAGCATGTGCAGGAAAATTGCATCTGATGTCACTATAGCAGAGTATAGACTGTAGGAGACATAATGAGTCAACAGACAAGGCTAGAAAGTTAGCCTTTGTCCTGTATGAAATGGAAAACACTGACAGGGCTCGTTTAAACATATGGTGAAGACGGTCTATGTTTAGGAAAGATAACTCTGGAAAAAGTATGAAACGTTTCCTATGTTACTGAGCTTTTGTAAAGATTAAATGAGATAACACATATCAGATGCTTAGAAAAGCACCTGGCACATGGAAAGTGCTCAATAACTTTAGTTATCATCATCATTATTGTTGTTGCTTCTGTTGGTATTGTAGAGAGTAGTAAAATTTCATATATGGGGAAATGTTTAACATCTGGACATTTAGAGATAAGAAGATAGGATTTCTAAATGAGCACACCAAGTATGCAGATATACAAGGGGAGGGTAGTAGAGGCCTGCTGATCCTGTGAAAAGTCTCCACGAAGACAGGCATGTGCTTTTTCCTGGTCCTATGGGGTACCTTACCTTCCAAGCCTGCAGAATGCCTGGCCACATCCATGCTTTATAGCAACTCTAAGTGTTTATACATATTGTTCACTTTCCCGCATGTTTATGACAGCCTGTTAAAATCTCCATCTGGTAATTCCAACCTCAAGGACATATCTGGCCCTGGGTATTTTGACCATGGATCTTACTTTCCTACATTTTTATGTATCTCATTGCTTTTTGCTAAATTCAAGAAGATGTATAAAAAAGAACAAAAAATGAGGCAAAGCACAAGTAAGTCAGCAAAGCACAGTCTAGTGACAGAGGAGGATAACCCAATGATTCAAGGCGATGAGCTCAAAACTTGGTCAGACGGAAGAGTTAAAACCCATCTGCAATCGTCTATGGTTTCTTTCACTGTCTTTTCATCCCAGACAACACTATCCTTATGTTTCCATCCAGAAAATTCTGATATCATCAAAGAAAGAGAGCCCAAAACATAAGAAAATCAGTGGCTATATATATATATATATATATATATATATATATATGTATATATATTTAAGCAGTAGTTATGTAGCCATTATAGTTGAAGGAAAACTGATCAATGGCTGGAGCAATAGAAATGAATTTTGAAATATCTTCTTGGAGAGTCTCAGAAGATTGATATGCTGCTGAAAATGGTTGAAATGCTATTTTAGTCAACAGAGTTAACTAAAAACTTAAAGCAACATCAAAGTCCTTGTGAACTGGCTATTAACTAAACATGTTTTCAGTTAGCAATTAAAATTTAAGTAAAATAGTTCTATCTTTCTGTTTTTAAATTTTTATTTTATTTTCGAGAAAGTGAAAACGGGACAGAGGCAGGGAGTGTGTGGGGGGGTGGTGGGGACAGAGGATCTGAATTGAACTCTGTGCTGACAGCAGCGAGCCTGATATGGGGCTTGAACTCGCAAACTGTAAGATCATGACCTGAGCTGAAGTCGGTCACTCAACCGACTGAGCCCTCCAGGTGTCCCTGCTCTTTCTGTTTTTATAACAGTTGGGTACTTTTATTCTTGTTCCCATTTCTCCCTATGTTTATTTGCCAGATTCAAAGCTTACTGCTCTCGGTCTTGCATCAAAGAGTAAATTATGACTCATTTCTTATATTGAACTTTTAAAAAATTTTTCATGTATACAATTTGTTGTTATTATGCAACATTCAAATTCTAAGCCAATCGTGAGCATGGGATGGGAGGATCTGCTTTAGAAAATGATTATGGGGGCTTTTTCTGTGAAAAATTATTAGAAGTTTAACTCAAAATCTAGTTCCTGACTACTTACGATCTATAGTTACACTGCTGGGCACGATATTTTACTAGAAAGACAGGCTGGGGCTGACTAGGTTCACATATTTCAACAAGTGAAGAGCTTGAAACTGGTGAGATTTATCAGATTTGAAGAAAGTATGATATAAAAGGATATTTTATTAAAAGGATAAAATTGAATTATGTAACTATATACTGTAATCATTTTTACTTAAAAGCAACTATTAATATCCAATGCATTTTATTAGTTGTTTTTATTAACTGTTACTATATAATGGTTTTAATTATTCTGAAGTAAAGTACTTGACATGCTTCTCCAGTATTTTCTCTTTCACAAAAATCAGAGTCTGCTCTTTTCTGGGAAAAAGGGTTGCTGAGCTTATTACAGATCACTGGTTTGCCCTTATTAGTCTACCATTACTACATACCATCAGGAAATTTCCCTGATCTGACTTTCTGAATTCCTTGGTGACTTTATTTTGGATGTACATCTTATGTTTACAATTTGACCTTTAGGTTAGTCTGACCTTTTTATAGAAAAGCTCTCATTAGGACCACACATTGCTTTTCAAATGTTAAAGGTTGTCAGAAAGAACTTTCCTGCACTCAGAGTGTCTTTGGGATAGTAGGACAGCCTTCTACTACCATTATCTAAGTGTTCCTGTATTACAAACCTTCTCTCTCTCTCTCTCTCTCTCTCTCTCTCTCTCTCTCTCTCTCACACACACACACACACACACACACATACACACACCGCTCACACACCACTCACACATGCACATATTCTGTTCCACAGAATCCGAGAACTTTCTGGAAAGTCTTTAGAAGTCAACTCTCCAACTTCCTAATTTTCCTGACAGTAAATAGGACACTAAAATACTGAGTTGATTTGATAACAAATCTGTAAAATCCTGACGTTGTGGTACTCAAATGCTTTGTTGATATTATTGATATGATGATATAAAGAATATACTTTTATTAATCTGATTTAACTGACAGAAAACAAAAGAAAAAAAAGTCAAGACTGAATGACTTTGGTCATAGAGTTGGGCAGTCTGCTAAGAAAGGAAACTCAACCGTTTGGTCACCAAGGTTTGGTCACCAAGGATCCACACCCCTGTTCTAAATAACCTGTCTTACTCAACCTCCCCCCTCCTCCGCTCCGCCACAAAAACTCCACCTACGCATTGCAGAGTTACAGGAGAAAGCTGACCATTTATTCATTCAAAGGAGAGAGGAAGACCCATAGTGCAAGTTGTATGCCTAGCACCCTTGGTCTGTAGCTGTCACTCAGAGCTTGTGTGGATCCAGCATCATCACGGTGTTTCTCAGCTTCAGGGTAGACAGGAGTCCAACCCACCTACACCCACCATGCCTCTTTGTGTCTTGGATCTGCTCCTCCAAAGTAGGTAGCCGTCTGGGCTGTCACCACAATACTCTACTGCACTCTGAACAAAGTTAAACTGCATCAGCTCTCTGTCACCTCAGGGGCGGCTTTGTCATAAATATTAAATAGTTAAAAGGGCATTTCTGCCATCTGGCTGGCAGATGAAATATAAAGATCAATACTTCTCATCTCTCAGTTTCAAGGATCAGAAAGAAAGTTGGTGGTGAGGGAGGAAGGAGAAAGGACTATTTACCTTATCAAGATGGTTGTAAAAATCAATGTTTGCTGCACAGAGATACCTGCCAAGCAGTGTGGCGTGAGTGGTAAATATTGTAGCGATAGGAAGCTTCCGAGCTCGGGAAAGGATCAGTCCAGTTCCCGCCTGCCATTCGTGGAATTGGGCAATGACATGTTTCCCATCTACGTGATCCGTCACCTACATCAGAGAAGAAGCATTTAGAACAGTTAGCAAAGCTTGACCTTGCCCATGGCCCACAGCATAAGTAAAATTATCATGCTTATAAATTTTAGCAAAATTTAAAGAGAGCTAAACACGATGTGCACAGATTTAGCAAGCAGAATTGTTTTATAGGATTTAACTGCATGTTCATAAAGCCCACGTATTTTTATGGCATAATCTTTCCTTGTAGTAATGGATCAAATTTATTTTTTATATCTATAGAGGGGCCTCAGAGAACAAATGCACAGGAGGCACTCAATAAATATTCATTGAATGGATGAATGAATAATAGCAATAATATCCTTGAAGAACTCACTGAGCAGCTGAATCAATTGGGACTACCCGCTTACAAGCTTCTTTTGAAACAAACAATAAATGACTTCATGTTTTAAATTAATCTTATTTTGATTTTCTGTTCTTTGAACCCCAAAGCATTTTAACTAACATATTATTTTAAGAATATGGATGGGGCGCCTGGGTGGCTTAGTCGGTTAAGCGTCCGACTTTCTCTTAGGTCATGATCTCACGGTTCGTGGGTTCGAGCCCCGCGTCGGGCTCTGTGCTGACTGCCAGCTCAGAGCCTGGGGCCTGTTTCAGTCTGTGACTCCCTCTCTCTCTGACCCTCCCCTGTTCACGCTGTCTCTCTCTCTCTCTCTCTCCTAGAAATAAATAAAAAAAAAAACATTAAAAAAAAAAAGAATATGGAACTGGGCATAAGGGGGCTAATAACTTGTTTGGAAGCAAATCCTAATTTAGTAACATACTGAGGACCCTGGTCTAATTCTGGTATAGATCTAAAACTAGGGAGGGTGTCAGTTTCTTGGTCTTAAAGTTATCTTGTTTCACCCTTACAGAAATTTAATATTTATATTCCATTCCTCTTAGGACTGCCTACTTCCTCAACGGGGGAGTAGAATTGATAATGCAAAGCATGTGCATTCAAGGAAACTGAGCAGAGAATTGGGAAGTCAAAAATTTACCCAAGGAGGCAGGTCTCACATTTAGGGGACATCAGCATCACCTGAAAGGCTGGTTAAGCATGGATAGCTGGGTCCCATCACCAGGTAATCTAATTCAATAATTCTGGGCTGGGGGCAAGAGTTTGCATGTCTTACAAGTTTGCAGGTAATGCTGCTGGTGGTCCATGGAAATGCTCTTTGAGAATCACTGACTTAGGCTAGGACCTCTGTATTTTAAAGTACTTGCTCTTCAAAAGTAATGAAGTAATAACTCCTCACAGTTATTAACAGTTGCACAGATCGATGGCAGCCAAGAGATGACTGCAGAAACAGGGCTTGCCCAGCAGCTTTGGACTTTTGTCAATGTCTTTATTTACACTTTGAATCAAAGAAAATTTCTGTCTCTCAAATGACTTTATTTTAGAGAATATTGGGGCTTTACTTTCTCGCTTTTCTCTAGTTCCCTTTAAGAGAAAGGAAGAGGGCACACACATACACACACACACGCACACACACACACACACACACACACAGAGGCTGACCTCAGTCCTGGGGTCAGTGGCTCAGGGAAGCAGTTTGCAGAAGAAAAGTTGCTTCCACCAACTGATGCTAAAACAAGACTGCTGATTGTCATTAAGCTGGATCTTGTCAGCACCCTCACCCTGTTCTCCTAATTCTGTCACTAACACAAGCAATGGGACTGCCCCTCTACCTTCCTCTTGACTTCAAGACGTTTTGTGGCTATTGGAAATGACTTCATTGGTAAGAAAGGCTGATCAAGGGGACACACTGCCAAGCATGCAGTTCTGTGATTTGTCCTTGGACTACACCCCCACTTTGCTAGGGATGTTCTTCTTTCACCATCTGATTTTTAAGTTAAGCATAGTCATTTTTGAGGTAATGCAAGGAATGCAAAGAAGTACTCCTGCCATGCTTTGAGAACTTAAAAGAGTGAAGGCTTGGCTCATTTCACAAGAATTGATTTCTACTGCTCTTGGTTTTTTATTTTTTTAATCTCTTTTCCATTTTGTGGGTATTTTGCTACTATGGACTCCTTAGCACCTGCTGAGATCACTTCAGGCCTTAGAAAATGATGAAATCTAAAAGCCACTGCAGTTGCACAAGTACTCGTGCATAAACAAAAGCAAATATTTCAAGCTATTTTCTACTCCCATAAGTCTAGAATTCACATACATAGTGCATGGTATATACTGTTGCTTGCTTGTATATATATTATCATCTATGTATCAAGCAATATAATTGGTTGTTTTATGCACATCATTATGTTTAAATCTGATATCAGGTAGTAATGAATAAGCATGATCATTAACCATTCCAAAGGCTAGTATCTAGTTAAAGGATGGATAACTTTTTCTCAGATTCTTTTGAAATGTATTAGGACAATCATGATGGCATCATTGCATTTAGCTTAATCTCAAAATCATGGGGTCATTGCTGGCCACAGAACACAGGTATGTTCCTCCTCTGTTGTATGACTATATGATAAACTATACCTCTTTTAAGAACCAGGCAGTTAAAGATCCAAATATTAGCATATCGTTGGCTTCTCGGTCATGATAAGGGATGCCGACACTGCATGCTTCCCAGAGATCTCCCTTCCACCTGTCGAGGTTCCAAGCTGAATAGCCTATGTCAAATAGCACCACGTAAGGACTCCCTTCTATCAGCCATCTTCCAAAGTGCACCTGCCATATAAGAAAACATGGGCTTGCAGTAATAACAGGCAATGTAAGGGAGAAAAAGGTGTTTATGCTTAAGAGTATATAAACTTTATTTAAGACTCAACAGCAGACAATGCAAGCTATGTACGAAACTGTAGTGGTAACACAAAGCATCTGATATTTGAGCCTGAAGATGGAATGGGCTTGCCTCCATTCATCTAGAACCTCTAAGCTCTTACTCTTCATCAAATGTGGTCAGTTAAAAACCAAGTGTCTAGATCATGTAATCTCTACCCTTCTGTTTCTCATTACCCTCCTGTGACCTTGAGTTCATGGATTTAGGATTTAATATCATGGTCTATGTTTTTATGATAGAGCCATAAGATGAACTGGTCTGTATCTTTAATCTATAGTGGGGTATAGTGTGTATGGTGTCACTTATTTCCCTATACCCAATAGAACTTGTTATAATATGTCATGCTAGAAAAGTGTGTTTCTAAGGACAAATGTATATGATTTCTTTCATTCCTCCTATCAAAAAAAAATGTGACACGAAGTGTTTCCCAGTGTGGTTGCTGCCAGATGTCTTAAATAAATATATTGCCCAAGATACTTTATCTCTTTAATCTAGCAGCTCAAAGTCTAATCCTCTTACATTCTTCAAATTGAAGTCTTTTATTCCTGTTTTATCTTGTGCAAGTTTAAATGTATTAGCTATCTCACTTTTTTCCCAATTGTAATTCTAAAATCACCATATATCCAAGTTTTAACTTTCTTTTTGACTTCTATTTTTTTATAGTAATTTACTCATTCTTTTGTCTTGACTTTTATTTTATGTTTATTCTCCTTTTTCATGGTATGCAACTCCATACATCACATCAAATGCGTCTTGGAAATTGGCAAAAACTAAGAGCCTCTCATTGAGTATTCAGGCCTCTCTATTAAGCTGAATGTATTCATATTGCTTAGATATTGACACTTGTGACTCCACCCAAAGCTGAATTTGGAGAGCTTGAAAGCCCACTTGATCATCATTCTCTTCCTCAGGACTCGGGAATGCATGGTAATTTTTCTCCCATCAAGTCTTGGATAAATAACTTTGAAAGACCGCTGTTATCTGTCAGTTGCTCCCATTGTGATTAACATTTATTATGACATTACCCCCTCTCCAGACTGAGTTTTCCTGAGTCACAAACAACTTTTGAATAGTTTTCTCTTTGGGACATTCATTAATTTATGTATTCATTCAATGAATAGTTGAATTCATGTAATATTCTAGCCTAATATGTGGCCTAAATTCATGTGATTTTCTATACTAATATGTGGCATATGATACACTGAGCTGAGATCATAGAGAAGTGCTGATACTAGAGAATGTAAGCTAGCTTGTATTGACTTCCAGTGACTTCTTGGCTGTAACAGAAACATCCGTACATCAGAATACATTTAGAAACTTGGGATCAGTCAGTCCGTTAGGCTTTTCATCTCCCTCTTCTTTCACAAGAGCTTTAAATGCAAGCCCCTTCCAAAGTCTTATTATTTTACCCCAGTAGTACCAAGGGCATTCCTCTCTCACTTTCCTATGTTTTACATGCTCCACTCACTATGATATATTTCCCTAGTGCTCTGTGGGAACTCAAGTTTTCTTCATTTAAATCTTCTCCATCTTAAGGCTTGCACACAACTTGTAGATGCTCCTACCCACATGGACATCTCAATGAGGGCTTCTCATTTTTTTCTGCCCCCAGAAACTATATTCCTGGGATGAGTATGAAGGAGGTTTGGGGTTTTTTCATTACACTGAAATTTATTTTTATTTACTTATTTATTTTTATTTACATTTATTTATTTTTGAGAGACAGAGAGAGGCAGAACACAAGTTGGGGAGAGGCAGAGAGAGAATGAGACACAGAATCTGAAGCAGGCTCCAGGTTCTGAGCTGTCAGCACAGAGCCTGACATGGGGCTCGAACCCACAAACTGTGAGATCATGACCTGGGCTGAAGTCAGACGCTTAACTGATTGACCACGCAGGTACGCCTACACTGAAATTTATTATTTGTGTATAAAGAAATCTTTGAAATTTGATCCAAATATACTACCTTTCCTTCTTTTATTAATCATCTGGTTATTTTTCCATCTTTTTCTGGGCAACTTCAAAATCCAAGATTTTTTCCTACACATTTACCTCATAGTTATCTGAGTTTATTAACTTCAAAGAACTTCATGCCATGGCATTCCAGCCACCCAAGCTCATGGCTGCATTGTTATCCTCATCAAAACCCGAACTATTCCTCCTCTGATACAATAATAATAATAATAGAATTATTACTTGCCCACAATGTCTAAACCTCCACTTCTTTCACTCACTCTGTTTCTCTCAGTGTATATGTTCTTCTTTTTTCTCTTCAAGACCTCTGTTCCTGGAACTTTCCATTTTTTCCCTACATCATTGCCTCCTTTCTGGCTTTGCTTCCTTTCCTATTCATTTCAGATACAACTGTCCATCAATTTCAACCATTAATTCAGTCAAGTCCTCCAGGACTTGTGCCACCTCGCCCCATTGTTGAAATTAAATCACACTGAATCCCCAGTTATTCAACTTCCTGCACTTATACTCAGGCTGTTGGTTGATGCTGGAGAAAGCCATGGTCATATATATTTGTGCCACTAAAAAGCCATGAGTATATCTCAAAATGTCCAGAAATTCTTTCATCTTCCTTTTTTAGATCTTCCTCAAATGATCTTATTTTAACACTCGCCTTCTAACTCTCAAAAGATGACCTTCAACTCCTACTTCAGCAAGATCATCCAAAACATTGAGTGAGACCATTCTACTCTTGATCAACTTATCTCTATCTGCATTCATCCTTTATTTTCTGGTTGAGTCTAAGAGGGGAAAACAATCCTCTCAATAGTGCTTTGGATCATGTGCCCTCTCCAATTCTCAGTGATCTTATTCCCTTTGTTAATTTCTTATGAATTTTCAACTTCTTCCTGTCTGCTAGGTGTTTCCTTTTGGCATATAAATATGATCACATCTCACATTTAATAAAACACTAATTCTCAAAACAATGTCATTTGCAAACTACTTAATTATCCTTTTTTCTCATAGAAAAATCTCATTGCCACAGTTTCTGTACCCTTTGCCTCACAATTCAGTCTTTCCTCAACCCACTGCAATCTGAGTTAACCCTCTTCTCCCCGAAGCTATATTTAGCAAGATTACCATGAAAGACCTATTGTTAATATTGCTAAACCCTATTTACCCTGGTTTACTCCTTCATTGACTTAGTCCCTCCTTCATACTTGAAACTTGTTCCTCAGTTGTTTTGACCTATTTCTATTGTGATAGCAACAGATTACCACAAACCTAGTGGCTTAAAACAACACAAATTTATGACCTTATGGGTTTGGGAGTCAGTAATCTGAAACAGGTCTTATGGGTTAAAATCATACAGACTGTCTAGGGGAGTCTGTTTTCTGGCCTTTTCCAGCATCTAGAGGCTACTGCATTCCTTGGCTTGTGGCCTTTTCCTCATCTCCAAAGCTCATCAGGCCAACCTCTGCTTCCACTGGCACATCTACTTTCTGATTCTGACTCTACTGCCTCTCTTTTATAAGGACCCCTGTGATTACATTGGACCTACCTCAATAATCCAGGATAATCGTCCCACTTTGGGACACAAACCTACAATCCTTTTGTTATATAAGGTAACATATTTTCTGGTTATGGGGATTAAGATTTGCACATTTTTGTTTCTGCATCACTAGCTGTGTTTTTACTTTTACAATCTCTGAGTTTTTTTTTTTTTTTTAATAAGTGTTCTAACATGTTGACATTCCCCCAAGGTTTGGCTCAAAACACCTGCTTTTATTTTTTTTATTTTTTTTAAATGTTTTATTTATTTCTAGGAGAGAGAGAGAGAGAGACAGCGTGAGCAGGGGAGGGTCAGAGAGAGAGGGAGTCACAGACTGAAACAGGCTCCGAGCTGGCAGTCAGCACAGAGCCCGACGCGGGGCTCGAACCCACGAACCGCGAGATCATGACCCGAGCGAAAGTCGGACGCTTAACCAACTACGCCACCCGGGCGCCCCAAAACACCTGCTTTTAGACTATAAACTTCCACTGAGTAATGTTATCCACAGCCATAATTCAATTACAATTTAAACACATATAACTTTCTCTCAAACGTCTCTGTCCTATACTTTCTGTTGAACGCCAAACTTATCACCCTACTGGACGTTTCCTGATGGTTTTCACAAGGTGCTTCAAATGTAACCTATTTACAATTAAATTCATCATCTTTCTCAGAAATATGGTCCTTTTCCCTAAGGAGATAAATAGTCTTCTCTTATGAGGTCATGTAAATGGTGGTCTGTTTTTTGCACAACAGTTTACTAGGTCTCGCTGGGTGAAGTGTCAGTCAGTTTTCCTTACCTGGCAGCCGTGTTTATTCATTGTGTCCACTGCTTTTCTGATAGCATCATTTATAGGTTCACACCGTTCCACCTGAGTCTTCATATTGTGCTCAAAATAGGGGCCAATCAGAAAATAATTATCTCCCCATTCATCTGCTGTGGTTTTGGCCTTCGTCTGAATCACAGTATAGATGCCACCAACTGTTGAAAAAGAAAAGTTCTGTTTATCATTCAGGTTTGTATTTCATTTTAAGTGATGAAGACATGGAAATGAGTTTTCATTTTTTTTAAAT